ACGAGTAAGATATTTCTTTCTCTGAGATATCGCTTCATCTTCAACCGCTTCTGTCATTGATTCATATTGCACTAACATCCTGCCTGGTACATAACAGCCTGAAGGGTTAAAGATTATTTTCTTTTGGAGGGGGAACCAAAACAGCGAGGTCAAGTTACTACCTACTAGGCAAACATTCTGGAGTAATATTACGCGATAGTCATTCATTTGGGTGGCACCAGAGATATGTATAGTGTGTTGCAACTTATCATGTTCTAAAAACCAGTTAACAAGCGAACGGTCCGCCATGTTTAAAAGCAAAAAACCTTTTAAATGGTGTGCGGTCCGCAAAGTGTTAATATTGTCGTTTGCTTTTTCGCGGCATTTTTCTTTTTACGGATATCCGTATGAAGCCTACGTAATATTAGCTTGTCACTTAATAAACTATTCTCTTCACTCTCAAGATAGTCTAGTAAGGATTCCAAATGATTAAGAGCAGCACCATGTGATATTTTCTTACAAGCAGCACTGTCCACCTCTTCCTCATCCTCACTTTCTTCCCGCTCTTCAGGCTGCACCCCCACTGAACTGACGATTTCGTCACTGCTTAAAACTTTCAAAGCCTGGCTCATACGAGTCACAGTCAAACCACTCTCTTATTTTTTCCTCCTTGACTTCTTCACCACCATGAACTTGGTTAGCCAATTTTGTCAATTCTATGGCTATCTCATTTTCACTGAATCCAGTGAATCCATGGATTTCATCATCATTAGTGATGAAAGGCATCAGTTTCTTCCATGAATTTTTCAATACAGATGGCTTTACTGTATCCCATGCTGTTGAAATCTCGTATATGGCATCTAACATTGAAAAAGACTTTCAGAAACATGTCAGATCATTGCCTTCATTGATGTACTTTTGTAGCAAATTTGATCTGTAGATTCTCTTCATACTTGAGATAACTCCTTGATCCATTGGTTGGATAAGTGTGGTAACATTAGGAGGAAAATATTTCACAAAAATGTTTCCATCATCTGACCTCAGGAGACTTTTGTTAGGATGTGAGGGCGCATTGTCAATGAGGAGCACAGCTTTCTCAGGTAGGCCTTGGGATTTTAGATGGTCACGAACTTGAGGCACGAATTTAAAATCAAACCATTCTTTAAATATCGCTCTATTCATCCAAGCTCATTTCTGATTAAAATAAGGGATAGGCAGACTTGAAGCTATTGTTCCTTTAAAAGAGCGTGGTCTATTTGCTTTGCCAATAACTACTGGTGTTAGTCTGTGTGTTCCTGATGCATTAGAATGGCACAAGGTTGTCAATCTCTCCTTACTGGATTTGTGACCTGGAGCCTGTCTTTCATTTTGAAATGCCAATGTTCTGGTTGGCAAGCATTTCCAATAAAGACCCGTTTCATCGGCATTATAGATTTGTTCTGGCAGCAGATTTTCACTTTTCACAAAACTATCAAAATTGGTGCAAAATTGATCTGATGCTGACAAGTCCCCTGACAATTTCTCACCTTGAATACTAATTTCTCGTATTCCATGATGCTGCTTGAAACGTGTTAGCCAACCAGAAGAAGCGTCAAAACTTCCTCGTAGTTCAAGTGCTCCGGAAAAAAAGTTCGCTTGTTTAGCACAAACTGCTCCTGTTGTTGTTGTTCCCTCTGCCCTTAGTTGATTAAATCAGATCTTCATTGCTTTGTTCAGATCATATGTTGATTTTTTCATGGTATTTCTCTCCTTCCTTCCTCTTCAATTAGAAGACAAAGCAAAGGAAGTTAATTGATTCTTTTGCTTTTTCAAATAACGTATTGCATTGCTAATTCTTTAACTACACCTCTTTTTCCCAACTGATTAATAATTTGAAGTTTCTGTTGAATACTTAACATAACACGCTTCCTTTTACACCCTGACATTTTGCTAACGCACTTGAAGATTGATACAAAGAGACTAACTGGGGTGCTGTATCTGTCCTTGAAACTTTCCACAAATCCTTGCATTCTTTCACCCCCACCCTAGAACATTGTGTTCGCATAACGGGACGAAATAATGCAGAGCTCGGTTCACACTAGTGCGAAAATAGTGTTACAACTCACCATGTGAAACAAAAGTGAATGAATATTAAACGACATATAAGTCTAAAAAAAAGCCCCGGTTATGCCGCAAACCGGTTTATCCACCCCCGGATAATTGAGAGTTGAGTGTATGGAGTTTGGTTTCATACAGAATGTGAATATGTCACCACACTCATGTATAGTACATATGATGGAATGCAATAAAGGAACCACACATTAAATGCTGTCGAGGGGTACCACGAAGTCAGAAGGAAAGAAACTGGAGTACACAAACTGGAGGAGGAGAAGGAAGAAGAACAAGAAGAGGAGGAACAAGAAGTAAAAAATATGTTGATACACTTCAGGATGTAGAAAACCTCAAAAGTATAAATGAAAGCAGGATTTTCTCTCTAGAATTAAAATGAAGGACATGGATATTTCAAGCCTAGAACAGCACTGTGTAGGATTAATTACAGTGCAATTATAAGTGGTAATGAGATGAATCTTAAAAGATGGCTACAGCATTTTGATGAAAACAAAAGAGTAGGGGCTACAGTAATTTGAATAAGATTTAAGGAAACACAGAGATGGTACTAACAACAGAAGGGGTAGAAGTAGCTATTCAGAAGCTTAATAATAACAAGGCCAAAATGCATGAAGAGTTATAAAAAAGATGGTGTATAGTAGAAAACTTATTACAAAATTATTTTGTCAGTACAACTTACAGATTTTCATTTAAATCCAAAATATATTTTTAATTTGGTTCTTATACAAATTCAGGGTGACCTACTGCAAGACTTCTTCAGTTTCTTCCCATAAAGTGCACTTCTCTTCCTGATGAATACTGGCCTGATGTTGTCAATCTCAGAACTAATTTTCTATTCATTTTATTCCAGCAATGAAACACAATCAGCAGAAACATTTCTCGAAATTATTAAAGAACTGGTAGTGTGTGTTTAAAACACTGTTGTAAATTTTGAACTTAAAGTAATTCTTACACAGATACACATTTCAAGAATTTGAAGAGTGATACTCATGTTAAGTCAAGCAGCCCCCTTCCAGGTACAAAGGTCATACACCCAAATAGAGGACACAAACTTGGACACCACAAAAGGAAAATAACGCACAATGAAGAGACAGTTTCACATATTTTAGTGTGAATAACGATTAGCAACAGCATGGAAACACATTGACTTATGACCTAGTACAGTTGGGCACTTTCAAAACATCAATATTTGCCTCAAGATGGCAAAGCAGGACTGAAACATGTAGCAACTGATGTCATTTTCATGCAATTTTAAGTTAAAGAGAGACTGTGAACAGTTTTCAGTTGCATTAAAGACGGAGATGAATAAGTGAGTGCTACATCAATGCAACAGGTTGCTCAAATGTAATACTACCAATTACTGGAGTCAATAAACAGCAAGATAGGCACAATATATTGAAAAACAGATAATCTAGGTTTTGGGTGTGATCAGGAGACTACAATTAATGTACAAATATGAACACACACGTATAACAATTACTTAAAACTTTGCGGACCAGACGCATGATATCATGCTTTTCGCTTTTAAACGTGGCGGACCGGTCGCATGATATCAGGATTTTAGGACGTTAGGTTGTAAAACACTATACCTTGCTCTGGCGCCACGCAATTGCAATGAATACTGCGTAATAAATCTTCGGAATGTATGCTAGGTATTTAGTAATTTGACCTGGCTGGCTAGGGTCCCTACTCCAAAAGAAAATAAACTTTGCTCCTTCCAGCTCTTTATGTACCAGGCAGGAAGTTAGTAAATGGGAATATGTTTCAAGGACAAAAGCGGTTGAAGGCAAAGCGATCTCTCTGACTTGGTTTCCGATGAGCTATCTGACGTGCCTTGTGGAGGAGTAGTGATTAGTGACTCAGACAGTTGAAGTGACAGTGGTCAACAAAGAATTGTGGCTTATAAATTGTGCCATTTTCAATTCACTTTTGGTTTACAAAAACCTAAACCCTGATTCGAAATTGAAATACAAAGCATTTCTGATGAATGTAGCATAGGCTTGGGCTACAGACCAGATGGTGGCAGCAGAACCAGAGTCAGACAGACTTAGTGTGACCTAGCCCATCAACTCCCACCCCACACAGGCCTCATGTGGACACCCCTGGGCGACTCTCGGATGATAGGCGGAAATATACCCTCATTAAATTGTGAAGAGTGAACATTCCAAGGGGAAGCATACTTATAGGCAATGCCGTGTTTGCATAGTTCACAAAAAAAGGACTATGACTGTCTACATTTGCAAGTGTGTAATGCCACTTCACAAAGGGGAATGTTTCCAGAAATATCATACTCTCAAGCACTTCTAGGAGCACTGGTAAATGTTCTCCAAAAATTTTAGTTCATAAAATTAATTAGGAGATTTTATATTAATTTTTAAAGTGAACAGTGCACAAGTTAGGGTAGTAGGTATAAAAATGCCGCACCCCAGGGTGTTTTAAATATTTAAATCGCCGGTCCGCAAAGTGTTAAAAGGTAACAATGAAAAAGTATATTGAACATAAAGTATGTGACTCACTTTCTGCTGCAACTTCTGTCTGAAATATTTTCTTGCTTCACTTCATATACATACAAATACACACACACACACACACACACATATATATATATATAGAATGGGTTGCACTTAAAATACATGCAGAATCACATGTATGCCTTAATGTGAAATAATCATTAAAATATTCCAACATAAATGAAAGCTTTTTGTATCAAATTCTTCATAATTTAAACACCAGTTGTAGAGCTGCATAATGCTCACAGTTGGACAGGTGGACTGAAAAACTGAATATGCAGCAATGAAAATGCTCCTAATGGCACAAGAATGAAACATAGACTGGGAGGTCCCTTCACAGATAAATGGGAGTGCTATGTACTTGTTTGTCCCTTGGTGTTATACAAATCACTAACTCCATACCTTCTGTTTGTACTCCTTTAATTCGTCTGCAAGATGTCTCTTCTTTGCATGATATTGTTCCAAGGCAAATTCAGCATGATTAATTTTCCCTTCCATGTCTTCCGCCTGACAAAAGATTACATCACAATACACTCACTGTCACAGAGGATACCAAGAGTGAATGAGATCTTTAATTTATTTTTTTTAACTAAGGTGTAAATGAATGACTACCCAATGACTGGCAAAAGCTTATGATTTCAGCCACTCATAATGGGTATGCCAGTGCTAATATAAATTGCACCAGCATAAGTAGTATCAGGAATATATGCATTTCCTGTTACATTACATTATTTCAACTACCAAACTGTAATTCAGATTTTTTGAAAATGATAACATTTCCTGACTGGCTATTAATGCACACATTCCCATGCATAAAACAACACTACATATACTTACTGGGGATACTAAGCTCTGCAGTTTCACTGAGTATAATTATGACAAATTTGAACCATCCACTGAATTTAGCAAGGTGACCTAATGCACTGCGAAAAAGTTACATTAGGAAGATTAATTTCCAGAATTATGGTGTTACTGTCGCTTATTGCTCTTCATTATCTTATTTTCTGTTCATTTCATTCCAGCAATGAAACACAATCAACAGAAACTAATTTCACATAATAAACAACTGAATGTGTCTTAAACACAACAGTGTAGATTTTAAACTTAAATAATTCACCCATTGGTGAATGAATGAATGAATGAATGAATAAATGAAGTTTTATTTACAGCATCAAGTCCTAGAGAACAGAACACAGAAGACCTTTTGGAATCAAAACTACAGTGTGAATTAGAAGGCACTTATATGTTAGTAAACAAATTATACGTATTATACAAACACTGATTTATGGTTTTGACCTGTAAAGCCTTTGGAGTACAGCATAATCCAAATTATCTGTGTCACGTTAATAAAGAGACTGTGATACATACATAATCTGCTCAGATAATCCAGGTCTTGGGTGTGATCAGTAGACAATTGTTACTTAATATACGAATGTACGCACAGCATCTGATGTCTTTAATTGTCTTAGACACCGCTATACATACGTGCAGAAAAAGTACATTAAATATGAAATATGCTTTAGTTAATGGAAATGGGGTACCTCAGTTGGTACAGCAACTGACTACAAGGTGTTTGGCAGGGGCAAGAGATTTCTCTTTCCCATAATATCCCTAACAGCTCTGCAGCCAACCCAGCCTCCTATCCAGGGACTTTTTGCCTGGGGGTAAAGAGGATGGTGCATGGAACTGATCACTCACTTCCACCTAGTACTGATAATGGTGCAGCTCTACCTCCCACTCCCCCATACATCTCCATGCATGTTGTGGTGCTTAATTAATTAAGCACAGGGACAATTCTGACTTTACCTTTTATGTGACTTTGCAGTAAAACACATCTTTGAAGGGCTTTGCCCTCCATAAATATATACTGGATTATACTTTAGATTAATGCAGAAACATGCATGCCTTCGCATACAGTGGTCATTCCCATTGTATGATCTGAATGAAAATTTAAGTGCTTTCTAATTCTTGGTAAAAATTTTTCAAATCAAATATTAGGAAAATCCGAACACCAGTCCTTGATCTGCAGCATGTGTGCAGATGCAGAGATGGACTGGGCTACTTAATATGCATTCTGCAGGAATGAATTTGTTACAAAAGATGCAAGAATGAACCATAACACAGGAAATATATTCACAGATAAACGGGAGTATACTGTACATGTTTGTCTCCTGGTGTTACGTTATATACACATCTTACTGTGTACCTTGTTACTGGAGAGTCCTAATATGTGTTCAAGATGCTCAGTATGCACATCAGAGTCTTGCACCGGATTTACAGCATTTCCACATTCCCTTTCCATGGCCTGTATGTAACAAAAGATTAGAGTACATATGAAGTACACATCAAGGTACAAATACACTCACTGCCATACAAGATACAAAAAGTGAGCGAGAGGTCTGTTTCATGATACTGGTCTCAGGGATAACTGAACAACTATGTATAGATTATTGGAAGCATATATATGGTAGTTATATTAAACCATCACCACAACAAATTTATGCTCGCTTTTAATGTTTACAATTAATCCTTTATTTTGCTACATGTTTTGGTCACACAGGACCATCTTCAGGCAGTTAATATGGGATATATCTAATCATTGAATTAGTATTAGTATTAATATTAGTAATGACTAGACATATTCCATATTAACTGCCTGATGGTCCTGTGTGACCGAAACATGTAGAAAAATAAACGATTAATTTTAAACATTAAAGTTGAGTATAAATTTGTTGTGGCGATGGTTTAACATAACTACCATATATATA